CAATACTGAGAAGAACGGCAGATTAGGAGTAGTTTGACGTAATTGCTTCTTCAGCCTGGAGATGTGTTTGGTCCATCAATCTTGAAGGAGCAGAGCATAGCTCCTTTAGCTACAAACAGTAATTACATAATGGGGAAAATTTCTCCACTACTATTATAGCTGAGTGCTCAACTCATAATGGTCACACAGTGCTGTGAGGAGGGATGTGTGATTATTATTATTATAATCAAAAAAGAAGCGCTAAACCACAAGGGCTATACAGCGCTGCAGGGCAGGAAGGAAGCGAGGGTATCAGGTGGCAAAAGGGAGATGGGCGAGTAATAGGTTACGGAGAACAGTGGGGCAGTGGATGGTGAAAGGGTAGAGGGCAGCAAGAGATTGAGGTAGAAAGGGCTGAGGGGAGCGCAAAAATATCATTGTCAGAGTTTGTGGAGTAAATCAGTCGTTGTCAAGAAGTCAATGAGAGAGTCAGGATTAAAGGAGGGTCCATCAGCAAGAAGGGAAGGTAAAAAGAAAGTAGTAGAGTGGAGACGACGGAGGTAAATTCTGCGTGCTCGTTGATAAAGAGGGCAGTCTAATAGAATGTGGCTAATTGATACTGGAACTTGACACTGCTCACAGAGAGGAACAGGGTGCCTCTCCATGAGATACCCATGAGTAAGACGAGTGTGGCCAATGCAAAGGCAGGAGAGAGTAGTTTCCCAACCTTGGCACTGATGACAAGAAGACGGCCAATAACCTATGCTTGGTTTAATAGAATGAAGTTTGTTACCGAGCAGAGTTGACCAACATTGTTGCCAATGGGTGTGAAGGTGGGTAGCTATTACAGCAAAATAGTCCGGAAATGGAACACCTCTATATGAAATTGGTAGGTCATGTACTGCTGACCGCGCATCAGTGTCTGCCTGTTCATTGCCCTGTACGTCAACATGACAAGAGGGATGTGTGAAAGAAGAAATTTGCAAAGGTCAAAAATGAGCAAGAGTTAGGTATGTATAAAATTAGGCATTAGCAGGGATGGGGGCTAGTGCAAGCAATACTGAAATCAAAGTTCGTGCAATAGGTTAGTCAGAGTGTGTAACAAGAGGGATGTGTGAAAGAAGAAATTTGCAAAGGTCAAAAATGAGCAAGAGTTAGGTATGTATAAAATTAGGCATTAGCAGGGATGGGGGCTAGTGCAAGCAATACTGAAATCAAAGTTCTGCAATAGGTTAGTCAGAGTGTGTAACAAAGGTGAGACTCTCAAGAACATCAGTGAGAATGAATGTGTTGGTTTAAGCATCAGAAGTGGATCATGTGTTCACTCTCAAGGGCAGGAGACATTACTAATAAATGTTGGACAGACAATGCAACCTGACAGTCCTTGCAGAAAGGTGCTAGTTGTTTCTCCATGTAATATCTGTGAGTCGCATGCATCCATTACATATGTAAGTGTGAGTGCATAGTCTCCCAAACCCAACAACGGTGGGAAGATGGTTAGAATCTTCCATGTGGCTTGACAGAAAACAATTTGTTGTGGTCATTGCAAACCAACACTGCTGTCAGCAGTTGCAGAGGCAGTGAGAGAGCAATGAAAAATAGTCTGAGTAAGGAATACCCCATAGGTATTCGTTGCCTGAATAGCTGACCAAGCGACTGAGTCTACATGTTCATTGCCCTGAACACTGGTATGTTTAGTAATGAAAATTTCTCCACTATGGGAAGCGAATGTTTATTAATCCAGCAATCTTAATAAACTGGAGTGCACCGATTATTATCACTAATACTGTATGAGTAGGGGATGTGTAGATCAAGTGAAGCATATATGTGAATAGTATATATGAAGCATATATGTGAACAGTATATATGAAGCATATATGTGAACAGTATATATGAAGCATGTATGCTAACAGTATATTTGAAGCATATATGTGAACGATCTGTTGGAGTGTGAGCAGGGTAATATTTAGTGAAGGGATTCAGGGAAACCGGTTATTTTTGTATAGCCGGACTTGAATCCTGGAAATGGGAAATACAATGCCTGCACTCTAAAGGAGGGGTTCGGGATATTAGCAGTTTGGAGGGATATGTTGTGTATCTTTATACGTATATGCTTCTAAACTGTTGTGTTCTGAGCACCTCTGCAAAAACAGTGATTATGTGTGAGTGAGCTGAAAGTGTTGAACGATGATGAAAGTATTTTCTTTTTGGGGATTTTCTTTCTTTTTGGGTCACCCTGCCTCGGTGGGAGATGGCCGACTTGTTGAGAGAGAGAGAGAAAAAAAAAATGTGAACAGTATATATGAAGCATATATGTGAACAGTATATATGAAGCATATATGTGAACAGTATATATGAAGCATATATGTGAACAGTATATATGAAGCATATGTGAACAGCATTTAGATAAAGGTAGGGAAGTTTTCATTGCATCTTTGGATTTAGAAAAAGCATATGACAGAGTGGATAGGAGAACAATGTGTCAGATGTTGCAAGTATGGAATAGGAAGTAAGTTACTCAATGCTGTAAAGTTTTTATGAGGATAGTGAGGCTCAGGTTAGGGTGTGTAGAGAGAGGGAGATTACTTCCCAGTAAAATCAGGGTGTTGGAGAGAGGGGTGGGATTAAATTATGGGGAATCAAATACAAAATGGGAGTGGACACAGTCACTTATTGCTGATGATACTGTACTATGCTTTAGGGGGGATTCTAAAGAAAAGTTGCAAAGGTTAGTGGACGAGTTTGGGAGGGTGTGTAAAGGCAGAAAGTTGAAAGTGAACATAGAAAATTGTAAGGTGATGAGGGTATCAAATGATTTAGATAAAGAAAAATTGGATATCACACTGGAGGGAGGGCATATGGAAGAAGTGACTTGTTTTCAGATATTTGGGAGTTGACTTGTCAGTGGATGGGTTTATGAAGGGTGAGGTTAATCATAGAATTGATGAAGGAAAAATAGCCCTTGTGGTTAGCACTTTCTTTTTGATTATAATAATAATGAAAGAAAAATGTGAGTGGTGCATTGAGATATCTGTTTAGACAAAAAACATTATACATGGAGGCAAAGAAGGGAATGTATGAAAGTATAGTAGTACCAACACTCTTATATGGGTGTGAAGCTTGGGTTGTAAATGCTGCAGCGAGGAGATGGCTGGAGGCAGTTATGTCCTGTTTAAGGGCAATGTGTGGTGTAAATATTATGCAGAGAATTTGTAGTGTGGAAATTAGGAGGATGTAAGGAATTACTAAAAGTATTAGGCAAAAGGCTGAAGTGGGGGTTGTTGAGGTGGTTTGGTCATTTAGAGAGAATGATCATTTAGAGTGTGTATAAATCTGTAGGAGAAGGAAGGCAGGGTAGGGGTTGTCCTTGTAAAGGGTGGAGGGGGGTAAAGGTGGTTTTGTGGGCGAAGGGCTTGGACTTCCAGCAAGCGTGCGTGAGCGTGTTAGATAGGAGTGAATGGAGACGAATGGTTTTTGGGACCTGACGAGCAGTTGGAGTGTGAGCAGGGTAATGTTTTGTGAAGGGATTCAGGGAAACTGGTTAGCCGGACTTGAATCCTGGAAATTGGAAGTACAATGCCTGCACTTTAAAGGAGGGGTTTGGGATATTGGCAGTTTGGAGGGATATGTTGTGTTCTGAGCACCTCTGCAAAAACAGTGATTATGTATGAGTGAGGTGAAAGTGTTGAATGATGATGAAAGTATTTTCTTTTTGGGGATTTTCTTTCTTTTTGGGTCACCCTGCTTCGGTGGGAGACGGCCGACTTGTCAAAAAAAAATAAAAACTTTTTTTAATATTTTGCAACAAAGAGACACTTGAGGATTTCGGGTCGTGACAGTCAAAGGGTTAAACAGCAAAACTGGTGCTAACGTCATTCAACTAACAATGGATGAAAGCAAATTGAAAGTCATGCATAATGAGCTGCCACCCTTTGATCTGAAAGCAACCTTCAGTAGTATATACTTCCACAACAGATGACCCAGTGGATGACCAGCCAATGTCCCGCCTTTTGGTGGGACATTGGCTGGTCATCCACTGGGTCATCTGTTGGTGGCCATTAAGGTAGAGAGAAAGAGAACCATTATCATTGGAAGGAATATTACAGGTGAACAGTGAATTTTTTTTTCTTGTCTGTAAGCAAATTTCAACAAAAGGGGAAACAACCACTTGGGCTAGATGAAGGGGTGGGGAGTAATACATTGTAGCTCTATTTCCTTGGATCAAGATCCTTGACCTTAATCCAGGCACCCACCTTGAAGGACCAACTAAGTTATATAATTCACAAAATCATAACAATATGATTGCAAACAAATCATGGAATGGGTGGAACCTGAGAGTTGTCGGACTCGTCTGCCATGGGTTCAAGTCCCACCCATTCCACGATAAGTTATGTAAAATTCCTTTTCTACGTAAATACAGTTTTCAAAATTAATCAATATACCTTGTTTAAGTAATAATTAAAAATTAAACAGTATATGTAAACAGTCAACTTTTCACACCAAATGAGAAAGCAGGAAACTTGTTTGGAAGGTTCAGAATTTATATTCTAAATCTAAAAAGGAATGATTAAAGCAAATTTTTATTTAATGTAAGAAATTTTCTATAATCATGTTACAAATCCCAGCAGTGTATGAAAATGAGATGTATAAAAAAATGCACCACCCTTCCCCAAATGTAAATGCTGAGTACATCTACCATAAGTTTTAAAAGCTTCTTTGACTAGCCTTTGAACACTGTAAGCCTTTCTACCCATTTCATATTTTTATTAATCTCAGTTTTTTATGCATTACTAATATTCCCAGCATCTTTCTCAATTTTTATTTCTCTTAGCTATTTAGGATGGCATCCCTTACATAAAAAGGATTAATGAGAGGTGTATGGAAATATATATCCCATTCAGGACTCCTTTTTGACAAACCTATTTAGCAGTTCAACAGTCAGTGGTCTGCAGTACACTGTTACATTTAAATCACTCAAAACTATTAGTACCTGTACACAAAAATGGGTAGATAAACAGAGATGAGGTTTTAAAATTTAACCACAATACAGTACATCTACAGTATTTCAGAAAGTACACTGGCTAAAATCTTAATACCAGTAAAACGTATTTGTGATTTTTAACATACATCAGAGAGTCATTGAGTCTATATGTTACGAAGACTACCTGACTATATGTAAGATAGTACAGTATATATGTGAACCATACACTCAAGATGATTAATTCCAGTACAAGTCTGAAATAATAATACAGTCTACAGGTTTTAATCTTAATAAAAAATTATTAAATGATTTTAACATATATTGGAAAGCTATTGAAGTCATGTTTCAGAAAGAATACCTGACTGTATGTAAAACAAAACATACATACATTATACACTCAAGATTATCAGTTCTAGTACAGTACATACAGGCATTCAACATGCTTAAAAAAAAAGTTTTAAAGTTTTCTTGTACTAAATGTTACCTAAAACCTACAAAAGCTCACACTCCTTTTCTACTACTGAAAGCACATATGCACCTAAACATAAATATAACCCATCATACTAAATAAATTTACTGTACATCATACACCACTCAAACAAACACATTGCAAAAGTATATGAATACAATGCAAAAATGTTGCAAAATTCTTTTATATGCATATTTATTTTTATGTATCTTAACTTGTTCATTATATATACAGATAATGACAATATTATTTACAATATATTTTCATAAGAAAAATCCTGTAGGTTCAGCTTGATATTGCATCTCTTCCATATTTACATTCAACAAGATAATTCTCACACCAGTCTGAATGTGGCCCCTGTATAAAAATGCACTATTCCAACACAGTGCTATATGGCTCTCATGAGCATAGCACTTCCTTTTGAATATAGTGTAATAACAATGGATTCCAAATACTGAAAAAAAAATATTCAAAACTTTTAAAAATATATAAAAATTAATGTAAGTACGAATAAGTATTGAAATCCGTATTCTAATTCGGGCTCAACTGCTTCACAAAATTAATTTTTTTTTAGTCAAAATAAAATATTATAATAGTACATGAATAAAACTACTGTAATTTTAACTTAAAAGATATTCCACTGATATTAAGAACTACAGTATAAACATCCAGAATTTTGTACCAATCTAATTAATGATGCCAGTTGCATTTCCATGGTGCTAAATTTATTTCATACTAATACAGGTGCACATCCCTTTATCAGAAAACCTTGGGGTCTGTACTGTTTCACATTTCAGACTTTTCTGAATTTCAGAATGATTCTCAACGCCGCCACATGGCGGTGTGACCCAGCGCGGAGATGACTGACACTCCGCGTAAAAACTTCGGTTTTCAGAACTTTTCAAATTTCAGAATTTCGGATAAAGAGATGTGGACCTGTACAATCTACATTTATTTTTATAGTGCTAAAGTGAATGTGGTTAACAATGTCACACGTAACTCTTAGCAGTAATATCCAAGTGCAGGAAAACCTTTGTTAACAGACAAAACACAGAGACACTAAAATAAACTGTTACTAGTGATCCATGAAAGGAAAGGAGGAAGCATATTGAAACAAAAATGACTGATTACTATGCACATGATGCATGAAACATCAACTATATATCAATGGGTCACACTCTGTATTTTCAGTCAAGAGCTGACTACAGTAAAGCTTCACATTGCAAATAATGAAATTTAATAAGTTATTTAGGTATTACAGTAATGCATTCTATTCTTCATTATATGAATTTAAATGCATAAGGATATTAATTTTCAGACATATGAAGCAAGATAACATTTATAAATATCTTAACTGCACCATGAAAGAGAATGTTATGAAATATATGAATTCTTAAGCTATTATCCTAGTAATATCTCAATCTTGTATATTTTTTCCATTTGTTTGGAATACTTTGGTGAAAGCCAGGTTACTGGGCAGTTTAATGATTTTTCTCACAAAAAATTATACTGACTCTCTGTCTCTGGCTTAAGTAAATACCTCTCCCCACAGGAGGTTAAATCTAGGTTGTAAGAGAGTTATGCAAGTGTAACTCAACAAAGTTTAACCCTACTGAACTGGACATGTGGAGGCTAGGAGCTTTATTTTTTTTGGTACTATAATACCAAACAGTCAGCAGTACACTGTACATAAAAAGTCCATGTATAAAAGGGTGCTCAACATTTGTAGTAGTTGTTCTCTTCTAAATATATACATATATACAGTATATACATAGGATACAGAACATACAAATACAGTAACATCTCTGGCAGAAAACATGGGAACTATTTACTGAGTGCGACAAGAGCTACATTAGGTTGTGAATCCATACTGTATTTCCTTTTCCAACCATTTTAATAGTAGCTGAAGAAATCATGGACACAGTGTTGTCATTAAAAAAATTTTATTAAAGAAATTAATTATTATTTATACATAGACCGTCAATTAAGAGGCACTCTGTTAAGAAGTTTTCGCTATATGACATGAAAAATTGTGGAATTTTTTCAATCACAATGTCGTGTTCATTTATGAGAGAGAATTGAGGGTAAAAATATGGAACGCCACAGCTTTTCCTTCCCTCTTGGCCAACCTGTGGGTCAAACCATTGCCGTTACAGGGATGGCAAAGTCACACTTAATGTACACAACTTCCCATGCCTCAGCCCAGTTCTCTATGCATACACATCCCATACCATACTCAGTTCTGTGTTAGTAAATCGATTTTAGATCTTTTCATAATCATATCTTGTGTTGGATAGTAACTCGGACAAATGGATTGTAAGAGATGATAGAATGCAAGAAGTTAGTATGAAAACTGGAGTTTTAAAATAATCAAGATATTACTGTAGATAAGGTTGGGTGCAAAGGGCTAGTAACCCCTTCTGTATAAATTACTATATGTAAAAAGAAGAAGAAAAACTTTATAAGGTTTTCTTTTTCAAGTCACCCTGCCTTGGTGGGAGATGACCAGTATGTTCAAAAAAAAAAAAAAAAAAAAATTAGATAAGGTTAAGAGTGGTGCATGTGTGGTGGAGCCAACATGAGCCTATGGTCTCAATGAAGAATCATTTGTTAAATTATAAGGAATGAGAAGATAAGGGTTTGCACAATGAGTATTCCAGGTTGTAACCTCCTTTAAAGAATGAAACATAGGTCATAATAGCTAAATAAGATTGAAAAATTATTTAGTAATTGAGGAGAAAACTATGAAAGGCATGACACCTAATTTCACCGTAATAAGGCAAAAAAGCCTTAAATGTACTATAAAACTGTGTGATGAGGAAAGAAGTGCTGAACAAGAGTGCATGTTTAGTACAGGCTGATTCGATAAGTTTAAATTGCACAATCAGTTGCATAATATTAAGTCTTCTGGTGAAGTGATTTGCTAACTACACATCTAAAGGCAATTTCTCTGCTGAATTGGAGGAAATTATCTGAGGGTGGCTCTAAGCCACACCAAATCTTTAATGCTGACTAGACAAGTCTTTAATGGAAGATGCCATTAAGAACTTACATCAGCCAGCTAGGAGAGGTGCAATGGGATTGAAGGCACCAAAGAATCACCTCAGTTTACTACTGTGTGGTAATGTATTAGGCAAGTTTAAGTGTAAGCCCATGGTTATTTACCACTCAAAGACTTCCTATGCTTTGAGAAAGGTATAGATAAAAAAAAAAAAACCTACCAGTCAAATCAGTCAGAATGGATGACAGGGGAATTTTATTGACTGGTTTAAGTATCACTTCATTTTTAAAGTCATGTTTTACCTGTGCAGCAAGAACTTTGCATTCAAGGTTCTCTTCACTCTTGATGATTTCCATATTCATCCAGAACTTTTAGTAAATATGCATCCAATGTAAAAGTTGATTTTTTTAACCACCAAATACATCTTGAATACAACTACTGGATCGTGGAATTATTAGGACACTTTAGCGAGACTACACACAAAAAGTGATGCAGAAACCTACTGCAGCAATGAACACTGACTCAGACCTTGGAGTACCAGACTTTTGGCATAAATTTAAGACCGCAGATGCCATCATCTATGTTCAATGTGCATGAAATGAAATGCCCCTATCAGACTTAAATGCAAGGTGGGGGAAATTATGGTCTAGACTGTTAAATAATTTCACAGATTTTTCCCTCAGTTGAGTCAAGTGCACGAAATTGTTCAGCTTATTCAGGAAAATCTGAATGAGCTCTTCAAAGATGATGAGAAAGAAAGAATTCTAAATGAAATGTTGGTAGAGCTCAATGACAGATATAAATGAGGCAGATAACAAATTAAAATGAGGAAAAAGAACCTGAAGAAAGGCTGTTACCACTGCAACAGTTACATGAGCAGCTCCACATTATTGGTAAAATTGTAGATATTTTTCACTGAAGAGGACCTTGACAAAGATAGAAGTACTCCTCTGAAATATGGCCCGGAACAGCTGACGATACTTTACCATCAACTATGTGAAGTACTGCAGGGTAAAACAGACCAAAGGCACATTACAGAATTCCTCAGTACTCCAGTACAACCATCAATATCAGTGCAAGAATCTCAGCCACCCATTCAACAAACAATCCACCTTTCACCTCAGCCCAGTAGGGCCACACATACCTCTTCTCCTTTGAAAATCACTGACATACACCTTTGTAGCCACAAGTATTGTATTAACCTTTAAACTGTCCACACGTAGATATACGTTGACGTGCGGCAGGCTCCGAACATAGATCTACGTTTTTTTTTTACGTGCTTTCAAATGGGGAAAACCAAGGTCGGAGCGCTACGCACGTGAATGTAGACCTACGTTTAGACAGTTTAAGGGTTAAACACAACACATCACTCCACCCAACTACAATTACAGTGTTAATATTTTTTTTTTTTTTTTACAATTCCAAGACCTAAATTTTTTTTTTTTTTTTTTTTTCATTTTTGGGTGTCTTAAGATTTATAATCCTATTTTCTTATTTGCTTGTTGGTTCATATTAAAAAATTATTTGATTAGATGCCTTTTTTAAAAATTTAACAACCATTTTAATTGATAGTCAGCTGTAATACATATTCTTCCTTTTATTAAAAATGTGCTAAACCTGTATGGGTCATGAAATTTTTTTTTTTTAACACATTGACCATTTCCCACAGAGGAAGGGTGATCCAAAAAGAAAGAAAAGATTTTCGTCATCGTTGAACACTTTCACCATTCATAATCACTATCTTTGCAGAGGCACTCGGATACAACAGTTTACATGTCACTCCAGACAATTTTTGCTTTCACAGTTACAATAAATCATTTGAATTTAAAAATACATATGAACTCATTCTCTCTCTCTTAGCAATCTCTCACTCTGTTAGATATCTTTAGGAACAGTTATTCATTACATTATTTTTGAAAGCAAGTGAATAAATGTAAAGAAAGCATGACTTCTGGCATAAGTCAACTCCAAGCCAATACAGTCCTTGAAACCAATGCTTGATTTAAACATTATTTTCAACTGAATTTTTTTTTTGTACATGTCACTCACTACCCTGTACATTATCAGTTACCAGGATTCAAACCAGATATAGATATATCACAGCTGTATGTTGGATAGGAGTGAACAGAGATGAATGATTTTTTGGGACTTGATGATCTGTTGGAGTATGAGCAGGGTAATATTTTGTGAAGGGTTTCAGGGAAACCGGTTAGCCGGACTCAAGTCCTGGAAATGTGAAGTACAATGCCTGCACTTTAAAGGAGGGGTTTGGGATATTGGCAGTTTGATTATGAGTGATGGTGAAAGTGTTGAATTATGAAAGCTTTTACTTTCTTTTTGGGTCACCCTGCCTCAGTGGGAAAAGGCTGACATGTTAAAATAAAAAAAAATGTTGGAATGTTGTTTAACTTCAGCTATTTTTTGCAGCTTGTGTACACAATTCATCAATATCTTATTCTTTTTCACCCTCTCTTTACTTTGTTCTATCATAAGTTATCAGCATGCAGAACAAGCATGTAAATTCGTAGTAGTAATTCTGTTAGAAGTCTAAATAGCGTGATTCACTTGATGGCAGCAATATGTGGTGCCATGAGCTGACTGCAAGCTCTACTTGCTGCCTCCCCAGAGGACTGTTTCAACCAAGGGCAAAGGGCAAGCCTTGTTTTGCAGAAAAGTAAAGAATAAACTTTTTTTTTTTTTTTTTTTTTTTTTTACAGATCTTTAAGGTACAGTTCAGCAGGGTCAGACCGTATTAAGACAGACAAGCTGGAAGTCAGTCTGAACTTCAGTATTTTACTAACCAAAGGGATTAAATGGTTCCTGTCAAAGGCTTACATAATATACATTAATGAACAACAGCCTTTCCATTATCCATCTTATATCAAAACAAAGTCCCTCGGATGTAAACAAGTATACTATGTGGCAAAGAACTATCTCTTATAAATTACTGCTGGTTAATAAGACATTTTGGTACAAGAAAAGGGAATAGCCATCAATCCACACATGGCTACATTGATTATAAATTACTAAGCACACTACTGCTAGAAAATAAGATGTATATTATTTAAGAAACTGTGGAGAAATTAGAGAGATCTTTCGTTAAAAAAATTTTGATTTGGAAATATCTGTAACTAGCTTAAATAATATGAGTATTTATATAGCTTTCCTTGAATTAAAATTCCAATAAATTAATATATACTGCAGCATTCTTGTTTAATTAATTTAATGTACAATATAACTTGAAAATTACACAAGAAACAGGAAAACATTTTTCTGAAAATTCATATGGTACTTAACAGTGCAATTTATTATGTACAGTAACCTGAAATAATTCAGTAATTATATACAAGAAACACAATGTTCTGGAGAAAAATTGTAATATAAATTATGAATTCCTGCCACATTCCTGTTCCATGGAGAACACCTATTTGAGGGACAATGCTGACAAAAAAATTTACTAGTCAAGACACATGTAAGGAAGTGCCCTTACATGTTTTCATGAATAAAATCTTGCCCAGCTCTGGATTCACTCTCAGTCAAAGGCATGTGATGACTCCTGTGTGTTGAGCAGATTAACTTCCTCATCATCCTCAAATACTTCAACTTCAAGGTGATCTTTGTTCTGCTTCTTATTGTGTTGATTCACATGTGTTATTCCCTCAGTGAGACCAGTAGTAGTCAGGCTTAAAAAAAAAATAAGGGAAATTAATCAATGAAAAAAACCAGTGACTAATAAAGCCTATAAAAGTCATGGCAATTGCTTTTATTTCGGTATATCCACAGCTGAAGGTTGATTAAGCTAATACCAATATTATTATAATTTTTTTTTAACATGTCAGCCGTTTCCCACCAAGGCAGGGTGGCCCAAAAAGAAAGAAAACAAAAACTTTCATTATCATTCAACACTTTCACCAGCACTCATACATAATCACAGTCTTTGCAGAGGCGCCCAGATATGACAGCTTAGACGCCCCTCCAAACTGTCAGTATCCCAAACCCCTCCTTTAAAGTGCAGGCATTGTACTTCCCAGTTCCAGGACTCAAGTCCAGCTAACCTGTTTTCCTGAATCCCTTCACAAAATATTACCCTGTTCACACTCAAACAGCTCATCGGGTCGAGCTATTGGAGTGTGAGCAGGGTAATATTTTGTGAAGGGATTCAGGGAAACCGTTAGATGAACTTGAGTCTTGGAAATGGAAAGTATTATTAGTTTACAGTACTATAACATTTATGGCAAATTTACACATAAGAAAAGAGCGTTTTAAGGTATCGCTGGTTATTTGCTAATTTTGATGGCATCAGCACTAGTCAAAACTGAGTGGCAGTATTGGTATAGTGGGTATTGGCTAATTTTGACGGAATCTAAAACAGTACGTATTAGAGAATACTGGCTAATTTTGATGGTATCTGTACTGGCTTAAACTTGAGTATCCATATAAACAAAAATTTTGAACTGTCCCATCCCTTAAATCTCATTGTGATTTCAGGGTATAATTTTTTAGAATTCTGTTAGAAACATAGGTCCTAACATTAACCCTTTCACTGTCCAGGCCCCCAAAATTAGTATTGCTCCCAGTGCCCAGTTCAAAAAAAAAAAATTCTTATGAATGGCAGATAATTTTTTCTGAAGGTAATGACACTTAAAGTATGAAATTTGATGGAAAACTTACAGAATTATGCAGGAGCAAAGTTAGGGGTCTGAGCGCAATTTACGCATTGGTGATTTTGCACACTTTGAATCTTATTTGAAATCAATTCCATTGCTCCATTGACCAAATTCTTCGCTAGTTTAACTTCCATTCTATAGACTGAACACAAGAAACCACCTATATAACTATTACAACTACCCTATAAAGTTCACACAAGTTGGTTATTTAGCAAATTATACACAAAATTAAAAAATTATCAATTTAACCCTTTGAGGGTTTCGGCCGTACTAGTACGTCTTACGCGCAGGGGTTTTTGACGTACTAGTACGCATAAATTCTAGCGCCGTCAAATCTCTCGGGAAAAGGCTGGTACGCCTCCTTATGAAAGAATGGGTCTATGTGGTCAGTGTGCACGGTATAAAAAAAATCCTGCAGCACACAGTGCATAATGAGAAAAAAAAAACTTTGACCGTTTTTTTGGCATAAAACAGCAACTTTGCACTGTATTTTCGTATGGTATTTATTGTTGTATTCTAGTTTTTTTGGTCTCATTTTATAGAATGGAAGGCATATCACAGAAATTGAGATGATTTTGACTGGTTTTACAATGAAAAGTACCTTGAAATTGAGCTCAAAGTAGCGGAAATGTTCGATTTTTACCAAAGTTCAAAAGTAAACAAATCATGCCAAGCGTCCAATACACGTCAACTGGTGAGTCTAACATTCTTTTGCAAGTGCGCCAATATGATTTATACCATTTTTTACACTAATGCAGTAATCTGCATAACAGTAAATCTTCTATTTTTCGTGAGAATAAAAATTCAAAGTGGAAAGCAAAAGAATGTAAGAGGGGCCTTGAGACGTGACTAATGAACAGAGGAAATGTCATTTTATTGCCAGGAATGTATTTCTTGTTTGTTCTGGACCCTATTCGGAAATTGTCATTTTTTGAAATTTTAGTGAAATTGGCAAAATTGCTAAATTCTGACCACTGTATTGGATAGTTGAAAATGGTAAATGGGTGGTTTCTTGCACTCATTCAATAGAAAAAATGTAGTTCTAGCGAAATATTCATGTTTTTTGTCAACTAGTACAGTGGAATTGGCCGAAAATGGGGCTCAAAGTGGGCAAAATCGCCGATGCGTAAACATCGCCGAGACCGCTAACTTCGCGAGAGCATAATTCCGTAAGTTTTCCATCAAATCTCATAATTTTGGTGTCATTATGATCGGGAAAAGATTCTCTATCTTTTCTTAAGAAAAAATAATTTTTTTTTTTTTAAATTTGGCCGACCCTGAGAACGAGTTTCTGAGAGGGCCTGTCGACCCTCAAAGGGTTAAAAGTAGAGTGCAAATTAAACGATGTAGACATTCCTGGCAATAAAATAACATTTCCTTTGTTCATCAATCATATCCTCAGGCTTCCCCTATATTATATTTGCCTTCCATTTTGAATTCATAATCACACAAAAATAGATGTACTCTATTTTCTGGATAATAAAGTATAACCAGGAATGATTAGTCATGGTTTATAGCATTCCAATAATTGACTCAGAACTATTATAAAACCCATAAAACAGACCAAGGAGTGGAGAGGGGCTTTATCTGTCCTCAGGAAAATCAGCAAAAATAAAATATTTCTACTTATCTGAGTCCAATTTCATACTACTTCTGGTCCTGAAACCAACTAAAATCATCTATATTTCAGTAGTATGTCTTCCATGCTATCAAATGATACTAAGAAACCATCTTAAATAACACCTCAAAATTGCTATTTTACACCGAATACATGGTCAGTTTTGCTTTTCCCACCATGCACCATGTGGGACAGGTTTTTTTTTTAATACTGTGCACACTGCACAGACCTATTCTCTCATATCTAGGCCAAAATTTACCACCCACAGCTTATCCAAATGAGTCAAGCTCATGATGCAGAACTACATGAGGGACCTTGGCATCAATGATGTAGCTCTATGTGATGGCCACTGAAATGGTTAATAATCTACCTTGAAAATTTGCTAATTAAAATATACTTGAAGACCTAGGCAAAAAGTTTCTAAATACATACACTTCGTCAACCTCCTCATCCTCATTAAAGACCCGGAAGTATGGATTATTGTTGGCTGGTCGAAACTTGTATCCTGTCATGACGAAGAAAACATATGTGGCCATCTCACGGAACATGTCATCAAGCCATTCATACTGGAACGGCACGGTAATCTGCAACAGAAGATTCAAAATAAACTCTTGCATTCCAGCTAACATTTTTTAGCCTATTCTAATTAACAATACACACATATAAGGAAAATACAATACAATGGACTCTCTGTTTTCGTGATTAATCTGTTCCAGAGAGTCCGACAAAACCCAAATATCACGAAAACCGAAATAATTTTCCCCATAAGAAATAATGTAAATACAATAAATTCATTCCAGACACCAAGGAGTATTAACAAAATATACATTTTTTAGTGATTAAATATAGATTTACATGCAGAAAACAATGACAAATAATTTTTTTTTTTAACAAGTCGGCCATCTCCCACCGAGGCAGGATGACCCAAAAAGAAAGAAAATCCCCAAAGAGAAAATACTTTCATCATCATTCAACACTTTCACCTCACTCACACATAATCACTGTTTTTGCAGAGGTGCTCAGAACACAACAGTTTAGAAGCATATACGTATAAAGATACACAACATATCCCTCCAAACTGCTAATATCCCAAAACCCCTCCTTTAGAGTGCAGGCATTGTACTTCCCATTTCCAGGACTCAAGTCTGGCTAAATAAAAATAACCGGTTTCCCTGAATCCCTTCACTAAATATTACCCTGCTCACACTCCAACAGATCGTCAGGTCCCAAATACCATTCGTCTCCATTCACTCCTATCGAACACGCTCATGCACGCCTGCTGGAAGTCCAAGCCCCTCGCCCACAAAACCTCCCTCACCCCTTCCTTCCAACCTTTTCGAGGACGACCCCTACCCCGCCTTCCTTCTCCTACAGATTTAAATGCTCTCCATGTCATTCTACTTTGATTCATTCTCTCTAAATGACCAAAGCACCTCAACAACCCCTCTTCCGCCCTCTGACTAATACTTTTATTAACTCCACACCTCCTAATTTCCACACTCCAAATTTTCTGCATAATATTTACACCACACATTGCCCTTAGACAGGACATCTCCACTGCCTCCACCCACCTCCTCGCTGCTGCATTCACAACCCAAGCTTCACACCCATATAAGAGTGTTGGTACTACTATACTTTCATACATTCCCTTCTTTGCCTCCATAGATAACATTTTTTGACTCCACATATACCTCAACGCACCACTCACCTTTTTTCCTTCATCAATTCTATGATTAACCTCATCCTTCATAAATCCATCTGCTGACACGTCAACTCCAAAGTACGTATCTGAAAACATTCACTTCTTCCATACTCCTCCTCCCCAATTTGATATCCAATTTTTCTTTATCTAAATCATTTGATACCCTCATCACTTTACTCTTTTCTATGTTCACTTTCAACTTTCTACCTTTACACACACTCCCAAACTCATCCACTAACCTTTGCAATTTTTCTTTAGAATCTCCCATAAGCACAGTATCATCAGCAAAAAGTAACTGTGTCAATTCCCATTTTGTATTTGATTCCCCATAATTTAATCCCACCCCTCTCCCGAACACCCTAGCATTTACTTCTTTTACGACCCCATCTATAAATATATTAAACAACCATGGTGACATTACACATCCCTGTCTAAGACCTACTTTTACCGGGAAGTAGTCTCCCTCTCTTCTACACACTCTAACCTGAGCCTCATTATCCTCATAAAAACTCTTTACAGCATTTAGTAACTTACCACCTATTCCATATACTTGCAACATCTGCCACATTGCTCCCCTATCCACTCTATCATATGCCTTTTTTAAATCCATAAATGCAATAAAAACTTCCCTACCTTTATCTAAATACTGTTCACATATATGCTTCAATGTAAACACTTGATCTACACATCCCCTACCCACTCTGAAACCTCCTTGCTCATCCGCAATCCTACATTCTGTCTTACCTCTAATTCTTTCAATTATAACCCTACCGTACACTTTTCCTGGTATACTCAATAAACTTATTCCTCTATAATTTTTACAATCTCTTTTGTCCCCCTTCCCTTTATATAAAGGGACTATACATGCTCTCCGCCAATCCCGAGGTACCTTCCCCTCTTTCATACATTTATTAAACAAAAGTACCAACCACTCCAACACTATATCCCCCCCTGCTTTTAACATTTCTGTCATGATCCCATCAGTTCCAGCTGCTTTACCCCCTTCATTCTCCGTAATGTCTCACGTACCTCCCCCACACTTACATTCTGCTCTTCTTCACTCCTAAAAGATGGTATACCTCCCTGGCCAGTGCATGAAATTACCGCCTCCCTTTCTTCCTCAACATTTAAAAGTTCCTCAAAATATTCTCGCCATCTACCTAATACCTCCCTCTCCCCATCTACTAACTCCCCTACTCTGTTTTTAACTGACAAATCCATACGTTCCCTAGGCTTTCTTAACTTGTTTAACTCACTCCAAAATTTTTTCTTTCCATATACTCTGCTCTTCTTATAACACTTCTGCTTTGTAAAAACCTCTCATATGCTAACTTTTTCTCTTTTATCACACCCTTTACTTCATCATTCCACCAATCACTCCTCTTTCCTCCTGCCCCCACCATCCTATAACCACAAACTTCTGCCCCACATTCTAATACTGCATTTGTAAAAATCATCCAACCCTCTTCAACCCCCCCACTACTCATCTTTGCACTAGCCCACCTTTCTGCCAATAGTCGCTTATATCTCACCCGAACTTCCTCCTCCCTTAGTTTATACACTTTCACTTCCCTCCTACTTTTGTTGCCACCTTCCTCTTGTCCCATCTACCTCTTACTCTAACAGTAGCTATAACTAAATAATGATCCGATACATCAGTTGCCCCTCTATAAACATGTACATCCTGGAGCCTACCCATTAACCTTTTATCCACCAATACATAATCTAACAAACTACTTTCATTACATGCTACATCATACCTTGTATATTTATTTATCCTCTTTTTCATAAAATATGTATTACTTACTACCAAATCTCTTTCTACACATAGCTCAATTAAAGGCTCCCCATTTACATTTACCCCTGGCACCCCAAATTTACCTACTACTCCCTCCACAATATTTTTACCCACTTTAGCATTGAAATCCCCAACCACAAGTACTCTCACATTTGGTTCAAAACTCCCCACGCATTCACTCAACATTTCCCAAAATCTCTCTCTCTCTCTCTCCTCTACACTTCTCTCTTCTCCAGGTGCATATACACTTACTATAACCCACTTTTCACATCCAACCTTTATTTTACTCCACATAATCCTTGAATTTATACATTTATAGTCCCTCTTTTCCTGCCGTATCTTATCCTTCAACATTATTGCTACTTCTTTAGCTCTAACTCTATTTGAAACCCCTGACCTAATCCCATTTATTCCTCTCCACTGAAACTCTCCCACCCCCTTCAGCTTTGTTTCACTTAAAGCCAGGACATCCAGCTTCTTCTCATTCATAACATCCACAATCATCTCTTTCTTATCATTTGCACAACATCCATGCACATTCAGACTTCCCACTCTGACAATTTTTTTCTTCTTATTTTTTTTAGTAATCTTCACAGGAAAAGGGGTTACTGGCCCATTGTTCCCGGCATTTTAGTTGACTTTTACAACACGCATGGCTTACCGAGGAAAGATTCTTATTCCACTTCCCCATGGATATAAAAGGAAAAGTAATAAGACCAAGAACTATTAAGATAAAATCAAAGAAAACTCAGATGAGTGTGTATAAATAAACATGTACATGTATGTGTAGTGTGACCTAAGTGTAAGTAGAAGTAGCAAGACATACCTGTAATCTTGCATATTTATGAGACAGACAAAAAAAAAAACACCAGCAATCCTACCATCATGTAAAACAATTACAGGCTTTTGTTTTACTTTCACTTGGCAGGACGGTAGTACCTCCCTGGGTGGTTGCTGTCTACCAACCTACTACCTATAAAATAAATAAATATAAAGCACTAATAAAATGTATAAATGAACATTTAACATCACACTTACTGAAGACTCTTGTTGGTGTATGGAAGACAGGGAGGAGGGGAGAGGGAGGAGAAGTTACTATTGTTTGGAAGGGAAATCCCCTTCCATAATGACTTCAGGTACCAAGTCCTTATCCGGGGTTACTTCCCTTCTTTGTTTTTTACTGGCACTAGGACCAGCTTAAGAGTCACTGGACCCCTGTCGCACAAAAAATATTTCCAGAGAGCTCCATTTCTGGCATCTCTTTAAGATTTGCCTAAAATGGGACAAGGCACTGTCATTGAACATGTTGCAGACAGCCTGCAACAACTTTGTTAGGGTGATGTTCCTTCACAAACATTTGCAACTCACTCCACTTTGCACAAATGTCCTTAATCACTGAAGAAGGCACCTTCTTCCCTCTCTCTTCCTCCTCCTCTGAAGCAATTTCCTCAGCTGTGGTCTGATGCTGTTCCAGATGAAGGTCTTGCAGTGCTTCAGTGGTTAGTTCTTCATTGTGGTTGTTCACCAACTCTTCCACATCCTGGCCACTCACATCCAACCCCATGAACTTCCCCAAAGCGATGATAGATTCCACAACAGGTATAGGGTTGTCAGGTGTGTGTGGGGAAGTACCCTGGCTGGTATGTGTGTGGGGAAGTACCCTGGCTGGTATGTGTGGGGAAGTGCCCTGGCTGGTGTGTGTGTGGGGAAGTACCCTGGCTGGTGTGTTCTTTCTTGAATTCTATTGTGTTTCTTGCCTTCTTTATCAAAGGGCTGGTACTAGGAGCTTTCTTTGGGCCCGTGGTGGCTTATTTAGCAGTCACACATAATAAACAAGTACAAAAAACAATGGATCTTACGAAATGTTTCATATGACCTCGCAGGGTAATGTTCACTTGCCGAGAAACAATGCCACACTGACTCAGAATGCGTATGTGGGAGGCTTTGTATGTGAGCGGGCACTCAGTCATGTTTCACACGACCGACGAAACCAGAGGGAATTAACGAAAACAGACTATATTTTGACGAAAAAAGTCACCGATACCCGAAAATCACGAAATCAGAGGGTAACGAAAACAGAGGGTCCACTGCAGTCTAAATAAACTGCAAAAGAATCTTGTACAAGCAATGAATTAATCATTTTGGGAATTACATGTTTAATACAGCCTCTCCTCACTTAGCACCGTACTCATTTACCAATGACTTGGACTTATGACGGGCTCTCTTACCAGTATGCATACCTAAATAATGTATATTAGAGCTGATTTCCTCTAATTTGTTTATTACACTATACAGAACACTACTGTATAAACAATGAAAAATATACTAAAAATTTTATAAATGGTACAAAGGTGACATTAAAACAATATCAAAGATGGCTGACACAAACCCACTATTATTATAGTATGCTCCTTGCTTAGCGACGAATTCATTTACCGACGTGGTCTTAGGAAAGGAACTCCGTCATTAAGTGAGGAGAGGCTGTATATTGATACACAATCTACGAAATAAGACAACTTGCCATTCCAAATAAAATCGACACAATTTGTACTGCTCACCCCCAACAAGTAGACAATGATCCGTGTAAAGTAGATGTAGCAGACAATCATGATGTAGAAATGACGGAAAAGTTTCAGCTTCCTGAGGTTCATTGCAGCTTTGCCATCAGTTTGGGAAGCTTCTTGCAAATGACGAATTGACCTGTAATCATACAAATTAATTTTATCTTCTTTCCCCAAAATAGGCATTTGCTGTACTGTTGGGTAGTAGTGATGCCTCAACCCTAGTGTTATTATTCACAAATTATGATCAATGATTCAAATTTTTTACATCATCCATTTCTATCAAGACAGGGTGACCCAACAAAAGAAACACTCACAGCCATTCATTCAACATTTTTTTTTTTTTTAACACCAGCCGTTTCTCAAAAAAAAAAGAAAAAGGAAAAAAAAAATCCCCATCATTCACACTATTACTATCTTGTCAGAGGCATGCCAACATTAAAGCTCAGATGCCCCTCCAAGCTGCATTATCCCCATTTCTCCTTCAGAGTGAAGACACTGTTACTTCCCACCTCCTAGACTCATTTCCAGCTAACCAGTTTCCCTGAAAACTTCATAAATATTATCTTGCTCACATTCCAACAGCATGTCAAATAAAAAAAAAACACTTGACTCCACTCACTCCTATCAAACATGCTCTCACAAACACACACCTGGATAACTAAGCCCCTCGCACACAAAATCTCCTTTATCCCCTCCTCTCTCCAGCCTTTCCTAGAATGACCTCTAGCCCTCCTTCCCTCCACCTGATGTTTACACCATGCTTCATCCTCTCTTAATATCCAAACTACTTCACCTCCCCCTAATCTCTATTCACTGAATTCTCTGCATAATATTAACAGAACACACTGCCCTCAGACATGACATCTCCACTGCCTCCAGCCTCGTCCTCACTGCACTATTTAAACCCCATGCTTCACACCCATACATGAGTGTTGGTATCACTATACTCAGGTACATTTCCCTTTTGTCTCTACAGATGTCTCAATGCACCATTCGCCTTATTCCCCAAAACGTATACATACAACACAGTTCAAATAGTTCTTCGGACTGCTGTATCCCCATCAATCCTTCAGAGTACAAAGATATATTTCCTACCTACAGAATAAGTCTGGCTAACTGATTTCCCTGAATTCCTTCATAAATGTTACCGTGCTCACACTTCAAAAGCCCAAATGTCAAAAACCTCTTTGTTTCCATTCACTTCAATCCAACATTTCACACATCAAATTATGCCAATATATTGAGATTGCAAAATGTGATGTCAGTATTTCTGGCAAGAAAACTATCGAATGAATGATGGTGGGTGACAATGTAAAAAAAGATTTTCCTCCTGTTTTAACATCTGGTAAAAAAAAATAGTAAAGACTTACCATACAACAGGCAGAAGGATGGCACCACAACACAAGAAATCTATCAAGAAAAGGAGTTGCACCCACACAGCATGCTCTTGACTGGCCTCTTCAGTTTCTTCCACAATAATAGTGGCAACATTAGCAATGATCTGAAATACATAAATTATACGAAATAACACATTTAATTCAACATGGGAAAGTGGCAAAGAATTCATCCTCCATAAGCCATGCGTGTTGTAAGAGGCGACTAAAATGCCAGGAGCAAAGGGCTAGTAACCCTTCTCCTGTATAAATTACTAAATGTAAAATGAAAGACTTTAGTTTTTCCTTTTAGGTCACCCTGCCTTGGTGGGATATGGCCAGTCTGATGAAAAAAAAATATTGCATAAGTAAATTTGAATATATACAGTGCTTAAAACTGCAATGAAGCACCACTAGAACATTTTAGTAAATATTTATTCTAAGTTATAGTTATCATATGTTAAGGTGGAATGAAAATGGATTTTTTATACAGATAAAAACCACTGAAACAAATTTTATTAAATGCAAGTACTTATACAGTAGTTAGGTTCCAGGCTACCGCTGGAAAGCAGAATGCCATTTTTTCCATTTTTTTTTTTTTGATGTCGGCCGTCTCCCACCGAGGCAGGGTGACCCAAAAAAGAAAGAAAATCCCCAAAAAGAAAATACTTTCATCATCATTCAACACTTTCACCTCACTCACACATAATCACTGTTTTTGTAGAGGTGCTCAGAACACAAACAGCTTAGAAGCATATACCTATAAAGATACACAACATATCCTTCCAAACTGCCAATATAAATTTATAAATGCTTATAAATGCCAGATAACAAGTTTACACTAACATATATTAAATTAGCAATAAAACTTGGCATTGAAAAAACACTAAAAAGTAAAATACTCACACAGTACACTCATTACTTACCTTAAAATATTTGTAATCTTAATGTAGGGTAAGGAGTTAGTATTTATTTTAAGATGTCAAGTATGGGAGGTTTGGTAGCCCACCTGGCCACATGTAATATACTACGACATTTAAAGCACCCTACAGCGATATAATACATATACATGTACAGTACACTCATTACGTACTTTAAAATACTTGTAGTCTTAATGTAAAGTGAGAGGTGAATAGTAATTACTTGTAGGAAGTCAGGTGTGGGAGGTATGGTAGTCTGCTTGGCCACCCTACCCACAACAACATTTAAAGCTCTCTAGAGCAATAAAATGCATATGCAGTACACTCAATACTTACCTTAAAATATTTGCAGTCGTAAAGTAAGGTGAGAGGTGAGCAGTATTTACTGTCGTAAAGTAAGGTGAGAGGTGAGCAGTATTTACTGTCGTAAAGTAGGGCGAGAGGTGAGTAGTATTTACTATAAGAGGTCAGGTGTGGTAGGTATGGTAGTCAGGTGTGGCAGGTGTAGTAGGTATGGTTGTTAGGTATGGTAGTCAGGTGTGGTAGGTATGGTAGTCAGGTGTGGTAAGTATGGCCACCCCACCCACACGTAATATACATTTAAAGTGCCCTAGAGCAATGGAATGTGCAGTGGACTCCCCGGATTAAGTCATCATCGGAATAAGTAACTTTTTTTGTCAAAACATTGGCTCGGTGAACCTCACTGAACTCAGTACAGTGGACCCCCGGTTAACGATATTTTTTCATTCCAGAAGTATGCTCAGTTGCCAGTACTGACCGAATTTGTTCCCATAAGGAATATTGTGAAGTAGATTAGTCCATTTCAGACCCCCAAACATACACGTACAAACGCACTTACATAAATACACTTACATAATTGGTCGCATTGGGAAGTGATCGTTAAGCGGGGGTCCACTGTATAAGTCATTCGTCCGGAACGTGTCTGTGTGGCCTGAGTGGCCCCGGCACTCCATTTACAGCCAGTGTGCCATTGTTTACCAGCCAGTGAGGATGATCCCATGCATTCATACAATACATTTTGTATTATTCCATTTTTTTAGTGATTGTAACTGCAAAATAAGCCACCATGGGCCCAAAGAAAGCTTCTAGTGTCAGCCAGCCCTTTGGTAAAGGGCTGAGGGAGAGGGGAGAATGTGCCTTTTTCAGTGATTCTGCAATATGTACGATACTAAACAGCATGAGTCGATGAAGGCTATAGCGCCAGCCAGCGATAATGTGTAGCATTAACAGTGTAGCAAGTAAATTAAGCGATTAATCGATAGAAAAAAGACAGCATGAAACTGACTCCTCCATTGTTGTTGGAGGTATATAGAGCTACTAACACTGCCGACTCTGCTGCCGCCTTCGCAGTGGCCCTTATACACCCAACAACAAACAAAACACCACCACTCGTGACACTGTTAATGCCATATTTTATTCATTCTAGAGTATATATCATGTTTCTATGTTATTAATATTGTTTATTATGTCATATTAGATGAATTGTGCTAGATAAATAAGCTGTAGAGCTGATATTAGTGTCATATTGAAGGACTATCTTGTCTTGTCTCCCAACACAAATCCTAACATATGCCAGAAACAGACCTCTCTGGAACACTTTTTTGAGTGACAGGGGTCCAGTGACTCTCAAGCTGGTCCTCGTGACATTAAAAAACAAAGAAGGGAAGTAGCCCAAGATACCTGAAGTCTTTAAGGAAGGGGATTCCCCTTCCAAACAATTGTAAACTCCTCCATCCTTTCTCCTTCTCCCATCTTCCATACATCATGTCTTCAATAAAGATAAGTGTGATGTTATTATTGTTTTATTCTTCGTGTATCATTATTTTCTGTGTAGGTAAATGTATATTTCATGTAGAACACATTTTTTTAATACTTTTAGGTGTTTGAAACGGATTAACTGGATTTCCATTACTTCTTATGGGGAAAATTAATTTGGAATAAGTCATATTAGGGATAAGTCACTCTTTCTGGAATGGGTTAATTACGTAATCCAGGGGTCCATTGTATATACATTACATTCATTACTTACCTTAAAATATTTGTAGTCTTAATGTAGGGTGAGAGGTGAGTAAATGAAATATAACAAATAAACGAGAGAGAGGGAACGAGTAAATAAGAGAGGACAGAGATGCGGAGTTTGTAAACGAGCAAACAAACAAGTCTGGTTATGGTTCATACATGATCATTTCAATGTTTATGAAGCTTATACAATAATACAAATACCTTACATTGTGTATAAGTTGTCTCCATGTTAGTACAGTAGAATAACACACCATTTTTAGAAGGAATGATGCTCTGAGTGAAAGCATACAAAAGGAATAATTTTCTACAGTTACCCCCATTAATACTATTGTGTACATGTTTTCTTTGGTGTTGAACTAGAGAAAACATTATCCTTTCTGACACTCCTACAAGATGACTGGAAAAATATCTCATATTTATATTAATTTATTCTACTGTGGGGTGTATTTATCATGTTTATATGTTACATTACATAATCTTGAAAAAATATCATAGATGGATTAATGACAATGTCTATACTTTTTAACATATGACATTTAATGCACTTCACAGTGATTATTATTGTTTTATTATTATCATCATTATTAATATGGTGTCTTCAACACTAATAAGACACTCTTAGTGATTTTAATGTGTACCTGCATGCCAGCACAGTGTGTAAGTTTATTTAGGTACAGGTACACATAAGTAAATTATCAAAGTACAGAGGTGCCCTGGTTATCGGCCGGTTTGGTTATCGGCTGCTCGCTTGGTTATCAGCCGTTTTGGACGTGTCTATCCGGCGGCTGGGGCTGCTTGTGCTTCAGTTTGGCTTTGTCTCTCGGTGGTTGAGGAAGCTTCTGCTCATACACCCAAACATTTTGCTTGTTTACCATTGTTTTTAGTGGGTTTTCTTGCAGTGCAACTGTGAAATAAGTAAAGATGGCTCCAAAGAAAGTTCCTAGTAAAGTTCCTGTGGTAAAGAAAGTGAGAAACACCATGGAATTTAAACATGAAGTGATAGAAAAGTTTGAGAGTGGTAAGAAGGTGGTGGAACTTGCAAGATGTACAGCACGAATAAAACTTAACAATTACATCCATCCTGGCAAAGAAAGAACAAATCAAAGATGCTAATGTTGCAAAAGGAGTAACTTCTCTAACTAAATAAAGGCCACCAATAATGGAAGAGATGGAAAAGTTATTATTATTGTGGATTAAGGAAAAAGAATTAGTGGGAGACAGTGTTGTGGAGTTGATCATTTGTGAGAAGGCAAAGCAGTTGCATGAGGATCTTGCAAAGAAAATGCCTGGAACAAGTGCTGCAGTTTGTGAATTTAGGGCCAGCAAAGGATGGTTTGATAGATTTAAGAAGCGTAGTGGCATCCACAGTGTTGTAAGGCATGGTGGGGCTGCAAGTTCTGACAAATGTGCAGCTGAAAAGTATGTTCACGAATTCCAGGACTATGTAAAGGCTGAAGGATTCGAACCCCAACAAGCGTTCAATTGTGACCAAACAGGCCTGTTTTGGAAGAAAATGCCAAACAGGACCTACATTACCCAGGAGGAAAAGGCACTGCAGGGACCCAAGCCTATGAAAGACAGGCTTACTCTTTTGTTGTGTGGTAATGCTAGTAGGGATTTCAAAGTGAAGCCTTTACTCGTGTATCACTCAGAAAATCCCAGTGTGTTCAAGAAAAACAATGTCATAAAAAATACATTGTGCGTGATGTGGAAAGCTAATCATAACGTATGGGTCACAAGGCAAATTTTCAAAGAGTAGGTTAATGATGTGTTTGACCCAAGTGTGAAAAAATACCTCCTGGAAAAGAAATTGCCACTCAAGTGCCTCCTGGTACTGGACAATGCTCCTGCACATCCTCCAGACTTGCAAGACCAAGTATTTAGAGACTTCAGTTTCATCACAGTGAAGTTCTTGCCTCCTAACACCACTCTTCTCCTCCAGCCCATGGACCAGCAGGTCATTTCTAACTTCAAAAAACTCTACACAAAAGCAGTGTTTCAAAAGTGCTTTAAAGTGACCTTGGACACTCGGTTGACCCTAAGAGAGTTCTGGAGGAATCACTTCACTATCCTCCACTGCATAAGCCTTATAGGTAAGGCTTGGGAAGGAGTGACTTCCAGGACTTTGAACTCTGCTTGGAGAAAACTGTGGCCAGATTGTGTCC